ACCTCTCTACTCATATTTTTTTTAAGTGAATATCTCCCCACACTTGCTCCCTACAGGCGGGCCCAGCCATAGCATTCCTCTCCCAGCGCTGCTTTTCGTAGCAGGAGGAGGAGGACGACGACGACGAAGGCAAAATTTTCTCGATCTTCATCTTCCCGTAGTCATCGAAGAGCCACAACTTGCCGTGCGTAATGTTGAGCTAAAGCCAGTCAAGAGGCCTGAAAGAGAGGGGAGGAGGAGAGGAGAGGCTAAGGGAGGAGAGGAGGGGAGAGGGGAGGAGAGGGAAGGAGGGGAGGAGAAGAGAGGGGAGTAGAGGAGAGGAGAGGAGAGGAGAGGAGAGGAGAGAAGAGGAGGAGGGGAGGGTAGGGGAAGGGAGGAGGAGCCTCACTCTGTATCTCCCGTTAGCTGAGGAAAGTTCATCTTCCTGCCCCAGGTCAACTTCCTGGTCGAGCTCATAGACTGGCAACAAGCTCAGCAACAGCTGGGGGAGGGGGGAGGGCTCACTGTAATCAGTGCCGTTGGACCTGTCAGGAGGAGGAGATGGGCCGCGATGGGTATCGGAGGAGCCACCGAGAGGGCCTTGAGGGGAAGGGGGAGGGGGATGGGGAGAGGGAGAGGGAGAGGGAGATGGAGAGGGAGAGGGAGGAAATATAGAAGGGGGTGGAGAAGGCAAAGGAGGAGGGGAAGGAGGGGAAGGAGGGGGAGGAGGTGGCGGAGGGGGACGGGGAGGGAGAGTGCGATCTGCTGGGAGAGGTCAGGGCTTGCAAGAGGGAAGGCAACGAGACCTCTCGAGGCCTGCAGACTGCTGGACAAGTTCCTCAGCTTCTCCATCATCGAGCTGAGCTCCTGATAGTCAAACTTGTCACGCTCGTTGCGCAGCGTCAAAATAGCACCTGTCGATATCTGACATAACGGCTATCAAAGTCGTCCGACCGATTTTCTTGCTGCGATCTGCTTGTCGTCAGCTCAACATCAGCTGTATTCCGGTTGACCTCCAAGCGTGAAAAGCTGACGAGTCGCTGTTGAGGGACGAGCGGATGGAGTCTAGGAGGGACCTGCAGGAGGAGAGGGAGAAGGTCAAGAGGAAACGAGGGCAGCTGAAAGCACGAGCACTGACTTCAAGGTGCTCTCGCCGTGTTGAGAAATTCTCAGCTTGTCATCGTTGATCGTCGCCAGGAGGTTCTGGAGAGGTCAACTGAGAGAAGGGTGGGAGGCAACTCAAGACTTACTTGGCTGAAGTTGAAGAAGAGGCCGTCCATTCGCATCCAATCCTCAGCTGAGAAGTTCTTCACGTGCAGCTGGGCGATCACATCTCGCACTGCCAGCAGACGTCAGCTCGGAAGGGACGCAACCCAGATCGCACGTGTTGTGTTCTCAACTGCTCCCCTCAGCCCTTCAGCCGAGATATTCCAGAGCTTGAAAGTACTCCAGCTGTCTGACTTCGCCTGCTCTAGTCTCGATTGAAAGTCCATCAGTTTCTCTATCCCCAGCAGCCTCTGGCTCTCCACCCTGTTGCTCAGGTCTGTCAGACTCTCCAGCAGCTCCTGCTGCTCCTCGCGCGTCCAGCTGGAGATCATCTGACGGCTCTTTCGAAGGATGAGGTCGGAGAAATTTCCCAACAGCTGCTGCTCTAGCTTCCTCCCCAACAGGGAGAAGGCAGCGAAGGAGCGGAGGGAAGAGTTAGTCTGCTCGTCCTGGGACTTCAACAGTTGGTAGAGGTACGAGGTCTTGGAGGCGGAGATGTTCTTCAGGTCTCGCAGGCCTCGTGAAAGTTTCGACCAGGAGTGGTTGAAGGAATCTCTCAGCTCACGAAGACTTTCGTGGAAGTTTCGCAAGCGGCTTCGCTCACCCTCCAACATCTCGTTCATTCCCTCCCCCATCTTCCTTCCTTTTTCTTTCCAGACCTGCACGAGTCTGCTCAGATTTCCTTGCATCCCATGCTCCACAAGCATCTCCAGATCCCTCTTCAGGCTCGCCTTCAAAGTCTTCATTTCATCTGCCTCCTGTCCTGCAAAGTTTCCCAGCTGGTCTCTCAGCTCGCCTCGCACGCTCTCGATGCTCTCCTTGCCGTATCTCCGCAGGTTTCTCACTCCCTCGTCCTCGCTCTGCATTTCATCCTGCAGGGAAGCCTCCATCGCTTGCAGCGTCTGCTCCAGCTGCTCCAGCACCTCCTCGTTCTCCTTCCACTGCCTCGCGCTCACGTTGGCGATCTCTGCCATGCTCATTTCCTCCTCTTGAAGCCTGTCGGCGGCACCTGAGAACTCCAGCTGGACTGAGTTCCAGCTTGACTCATTGACCTCGTCCAGCAAGCGCTTCTGTCGAGCAAGGAAACTGTCATCCTTGGCATTGATCCTGTCTAGGAGAGCCTGCTTGCAGGCTGCCAAGGTGTCACCCCAGCGCTTCTGGAAGCTTCTAGACGCATCGACCGCGTCAGCCATGAAGTCTTGCCGGAACTTATCGATGGAGACGTTGAGCAGCTGGAGCTGCTCCACCAGCAGCGGCACCTCCCCCAGACTCACGTCGTAGAGCCTCGAGGTCAGGCCCGTCTCGTCCTGCCTCGCGTCATGAAGTTCCTGGAGCTCCTTGATTGACGAGATGTTGATGTCGTAGAGGACGTCTGCCATGACCCGCTCGATGCTCGCCAGATGCTCCCTGGTCCTCCTCTCGAACCCCTGGAGGTTCTCGAGACTTTGTGACTCCGCGTTGTAGAACAAGGAGAAGAGCTCTTCGAAGTCTGATACCTCTCGGTCTGCTTCCACCTCCCGCTCCTTCGACACATTGAAGTCCAGCGACGAGTTCGCGTCCACCTGGAGCTTCACGTACCAGTTTTGCCACCTGAGCTTCGCGTCTTCAATCAGCTGCAAGTGTTCCTCAAGGACTCTCTTGAGCCACAGGAACCTTCCGAGGGCCGACGTCGTCGCATTCATCGTCTTGTCAAGGGCTATGATCTGCATGTCAGTGGCAAACCTCGCATGCACCAGCTCGTCTCTCAGCCTCATGGCGTTGGGCATCAGCGGATGGATCATCCCCGTGACGTTGGCAACTGCGTCTTCGTATCTCGTCTCCAACAAGCGAACGCTTTGCTTCAGGAATTCCAACTCAAAGACTGCGTTCTCCTTCACCCTCTTTGAGAGTTTCGAAATGGTGAGCAGACGGACTTTGTTTAGCTCCGGTCGCAGGTTCATCACAGACTTCAGTCGTTTGATTCTCCTCTGAGCGTCTTCAAACATTTCCATGGTCTCATCCATGCTCCATCCTTCACAACCATCACACGTTGAGTTACCCGACTGAGAGCTTTCATCATCATCCTCCCCGCCTTTTCCTGTCCCCGATGACTCCTTCCCGCCCTCTCCTGTCCCCGATGACTCCTTCCCGCCCTGGACAGTCCCTTTTGTTGGTTCTGTCCTTGAATCGGACGAGGCTGTAGCATCACTAGCTCTCTTTGTGATGTCTGAGAGGGACAACTTGATGTCTTCGGGGTTGATGTGCAGAACTTCGGCGAGGGAACGTTGAAACGTATCGGCCGATGCCCGAGAGAAGGTAGTTTCTGTCTTGCCAGTGATCCATATAACAGCTGATATTTCTCCCTCACTGTCATCTGCTGCATCGCCTCCTCTCGTCTCCTTCACGTCGCCTCGTAGATCTACATGGATTGGCATCCCGTTGACCTTGAGCTGTTGCTCAAGCGAGCCATCCTCTGCCGAAGTCACGTCCCTCAGCTCATCGGCGAGAGTCGAGGTACTTGTCACGGTGGATTTTGTAGAGATCTCTACATGCACTCCAAGCTTGTAGGGATCAGGGAGGAAACCCTTGTGGATCTTGTCAAGTTCCGCTCTCCGCTCCTCCTTCTCCATCGCTCGAGGGTCTGCAGGCTCGAAGTGGAAGTGTGACTGCGAGAGCTTCACCTTCCTTGACGCCTCTGGCACGTCAGCTCGCACGAGCTTCTCTTCATCCTCTGCCTGCCATCCCTCCCACTGTGTCGCCAGCACCATGAGCAGAACCCCTGCCATCGCCGCCGCCGCCGCCCGCATAGACCTTGTCATTCCGCCATACGCCGAAAATAGAGGGAAAATGTTTCACTCAAGAGAACAATACCTTTTTAAAAAATACTGGCACTAACTAAAATATAGTTTTAAATGCTGTTCTACGTGAAGTCTTCAATCTCAGTCGACTGCTGTAACAGTGCGCATGCTAAGGGGGCTCTTGCTTGTGCGCTCGGCCAACATGTTCCGCATGTTCACGATCTCCTTCTCATACTGCAGGTCGGCAAACCGACTCGTGTATGGAAAGACTTTCATCTCCTGCACCTGACCGACCAGCCTCGTCCTGCCCCGTCCTCCTGTCTGCACGTCGTGATGAGAACCGTTGTTGACCTGCAGGGAAGAGTAGTTGGCTCTGTTGGCTTCGTTCCGGTTCTGAGAGCTCAACGTAGAGTTTCGTCCTCCGACAGCGCCATCTTCTTTCCAACCATGTCGCTGGACTTTTGTCGAAGAGAGATTGCCGCCTCCCGCTAGCTTGAGGTCGTTGCGGAAGATGACCCTTATTCTCTGATCCTCCTTCTCATCCCTCACGACTGGCTCGTACTTGTACACAAGATCTGAACCAGAGACTTCCTTCTTCTCTGCTTCTTGCGCCTGTTTGCTCGGCTCCATGGGTTCCCTCTTTGAGACCACAACTTGTTCAGCTCCGTTGGGCACTAGAGAAGAGAGAATCGGGTCGCTGGATGTGCAGCGCTTCCTCCCAGCAGATTTCTTCTTGGAACTGCTCGTAGTGGATTCAAGAGCATGGCACTGACAGTCCTTGTCCTTGGCCTCCAGCACAAGACCCAGCAACTTGGCGATTTCCTCCAGGCGAGCATGGAAGGATCGAAGGGTTTCATCTCCCGTGTCTCGTCCTGCTCCCCTCTGCTGGTAGTTCGACCCCATGCCTGTATGTGTGGGAGACAGCAGCTTCATGTCGTCTTGGATGCGGCAGACTGACATGTCCAACAACTTGAGCATCAGCATGATTGCCTTCAACTCCTTGGAGTCCGTCTCCGTCATAGCGGTCGTGATCTGCCGTTGCGCGTACCGTTTGAGTTCACCTGCTCCTGTTCAGCAAGAGCATCATGGGCATAGCTTGTCTACCTCTCATGACTTCCTGGAATTGTTCCCCAGAGAACTCGCCATCCCCGTTGCAATACTCTCCGCCGTTGGTGATCAAGTCAAAGTCATCCTGCGACATGAAAGATGACAAGATTAGAAGGTCGGGAGAATGCCGGGGGGCAGGAAGGGAACCTGGGTGATGTGGATCGGCTTAGCTGTGGGAAGCATCTTGAGGCCTTTCTGGAACTCTTCAAAGTCAAGACCCCCTGACTTGTTGGCGTCCAGAGTGTCATAAGTGTCGCTGGTAAGGGCGAAGTCAGGCGTACTTCCATTGGAAGAGGACGAGGGGGAAGGGATGAAAATGGAAGGTTGGAAAAGGAGAGGAGAGGAGAGGAGAGGAGAGGAGAAGGAGAAGGAGAAGGAGAAGGAGAATGGGAATGAGAATGAGAATGAGGAGAAGGAGGGGAGAGAAGATGAGATGCGAAGCGAAGGAGAGTTGGGAAGCTGGAAGGAGGTAAGACAAATTGATAACAAGAGGCAAAGAACAAGTGCAGCTGTTAGTTTTGGTTGTTCGGGTCGCTCACATAATCTTCGTCGTCAAGTCTTCATAGTCCCAAAACTCCGAGATGGCGGCTGAGAGCGGATCAAGCACCCCAGTCACTCTGGAGGCCATGGCCTCTTGCTCCCTCTTTTTTTCTCGCAGCTTCTGAGCCTCCTCCTTCTCCAGGGAGACCGCGCTGATGAATTCATCAAGAAGAACAGCGACGACAATGTTGATCAAGACAACCCCTGCAAAGACAAGTCAACGATAACTGCTGCAAGGCATCAACGTCGACACACCTGCAAAGATGACGTAACTCACGAAGAAGATTGCAACTCCGATGTGGACTGTGCCGTCATCATAGAACAAAGTCCTTGTGACCGCTGAAGCCCAACTGTCGCCAGTGACTACTTGGAACATCTGTAAGCACAGACATTACGTAAGTCAGGAAGTGAAAGAAATTTTCACCGTGAAGAGAGAGTCTATGAAGGTTCCGAAGAAGACAGGACTCTTTTCATGAAAGATGTGAGTTCCAAGGGTGGCCCAGATGCAAGTGACAAGCAGCAAGAGCATGAAGCTGTTGCCGACTGGGAGCAGTGAAGACACTAGGGCCTTGATGATACGATTCAACGACTTGACTTTCTTGAAGAGCCGAACCACCTGCAGTGACGTCAGTCCATTCTAACGGCGGCTTTCCGTACACACCCTGAAGATTCTGATCAACCGAAGCAGCTTCAGCTGAGGAATGGTCTCTACGGCTTTTGTGAAGATGCCAATAAAGACAACGAAGGTGTCAAACAAATTCCAACCGTCTCTGTAGAATGCAAGAATGCCATTGGTGCATCTTGCAAACATATTGAACATCAATTCCAACGCAAAAAGAATGGTGAAGACGTAGTCGGCAATGACAAATGGCTCCTGTCCCTGAGATCCTTCAACAGGCAACACCTGCGCTTCCCAGACATCCTGTTCTCAGCAGGTCAGGAGATCAATACTGAAAGCAAGTTTGACTTTCACCGAAGCAAAGCTGGAGGTGATGATTAAAGCGATGAACATTTGCATCTTGGTCGATTCATACCATTTAAGGGCTTTCGCTTGGTGTCTCTTCAGACTGCTATTTCCAAACCGACTCTGGAATACTTTCTCCTTATGCAATTTCTTGGCTTCCTTGACTGCAGATCTGATCGCGGACACCCAGTCCTCGATCTCATCCTTCGACGTCCTGTGAACGTAGTTTCTTCCAGCATTGAAGCCATCTTCGACCGGGTGGATCACGAACTCAGGGCCTCCTGTGACTCCCTGCTGGTTGCCGACACTCACCAGATCAATCTCATGGAGAGGAATGGAATCGATGATAACACGCTGATCCAGACCGGGAGAAGGAGCGTTGGCAAAAAGGAGCGCGTCTTCTACAATGTACAAGGTCAACTTTTTCCAGGTGACCATAGAGGAGACAATCTTGCGCTCAACCAACCCTTTCTTCATGTACCAGTTGTCTCCCTCAGGAATGAGCTCTGCAATCTCAGATGTGTTGAGAGTCGACCTGCGTGTTAACCTCGATTTGCTGTGTAGAGCTGCAAAAATTGCCGCCATGCCGAGGAATTGGCCTGATTAAGTTGGTATTGCAAGCCGGACACAAGACTGAGAAAGGAGAAGGAGAGAGGGAGAGGGGAGGTGAGGCAAGAGAAGTTATAGTAGAGCAGAAAAGGGTACAGTAGAGAATCGAAGAGAAGAGAGCAGGGAGGAGTACGGAAGAATGGAAAAGAGAGGAGAAGAAAGGAAAGAAGAGAAGAGACAAGTCAAGATATGACTAGAGAGGGGTAGGGTGTGGCGAGAAAAGAGGAACGAGGAAAGTATTTCAATCACCCAAGACGGACTCAGGAAAGTTGCCGTCCTACCAGTGCTTTTCCAACAGGTCCGGGGGACGGACGGGGGTGGGGTAGAGACGGTAGGGGGTAGGGTGGAACCCAAGGATGACCGCATATCAAGGCATCCCTGTGGTCAATTTCCGATGTGGTCAAAGAGCCGATAAGGTGGGGTGATTCTGACGTAGAAAGGAGGGGTGGTGAATAGTCATGAACATCATTTTAAACTAAAGATATCACTCATGAGAAGAAGTCACGATTGCTGCGTTAACGTTACTTCCGTAACCGACCGCAGATACCCTGAAGCGCATCTACATGTTCCCCACAGTTCTTGTAGTACAACAACGTCTACAGATAGGTCTAGTCTCTACACGGACAGAACAGACCCTCCTCACCTCACCTCGCCTCCTCCTTGAGCTCTCGCAGTCTACCAGGCAAGGTAGGGGAACGTGCCTTTATTGTACAACAACGTCTACAGATAGGTCTAGTCTCTACACGGCTCGCCTACTAGGCTGTGTGCAGGCTGCAGGCCGCCTGAGGAGGGAGTCAGCGGCCCGTCTCTCAGCCTGGTTGCTAGAGCAGAGGGATCCTGTGCCGCGGGGGCGCCTGTAGCTCCTCCTCGGGTCGCTTGACGGACACTCGGAGGACTCCGTTGTCGTACTTGGCCTCGACCATGTCGGGCTTTGTGTGGGGAGGGAGGGAGACGCGCTTCTCAAACGCCGCATACGACGCTTGGACTCGCGCCGGCTCCTCCGACGTCTGCTTGGAGGACGAGCGGCCGGAGATGACTAGGGTCGGGGGGACGTCGCCTGTGGCCTCGAGGACCTCGACGGCGATGTCGTCCTTGGCGAGGCCCGGGGTAGCGGCGGTGACGAGGAGACGATCGGAGGTCGACTGGATGTCAAAGTGAGGCCGCAGCCGCATCACCGCCCCTCCTCCCTCCCCGTCCGAGGGGCTAGGGTCGTTGGTGACGGGACTCGCAGGCGGGTCGCGACAGGCCTCGTCCGGGAGGAGGAAGCCGCCGGTGACATCCATGACGGAGTCGAGCATGCGGTCCATCTCCTGCTCCAGCCGGCTCATCGTCGACAGGATCTGACGCGGGCTGCTAGGAAGCGACGCCGACAACGGTCGGTAGGGGTCCAGCATGAAGGCGCTCGGAGTGATGAGGAAGGCGGAGGACGAGGAGAGCATGATCAAGCCTAGGAGAGCAAGAAGAAGGATCGAGGGACGCGACAGAGGACAGGACGCGCACGAGGACGAGCTACGCGGCATCATCGCAAGCTACTGGCTGAGGTCCGCAAGCTGTCGGGCGACTCGGATAAGAAGGCAAGGGGAGGATGGAAGGGAGGAGGGGGGAGGGGTGCTGGGAGGCTTGGTAGGGATGAGGGGTAGTACCGTAGACCAGCAAAACTGAGTCTAAAAATACACACAAACCTCCGTACAAAGCCCACGTCTTCTATTTGGTGTCACCCCGGTATTCTCGATCTTTCCACGTCCCCTCCCCTCCCTCTATATCTCCTCCCCATCTCCCGTCGACCCTCCCAACCCATCCCACACCCAACCCACTCTTTCTCTCTCTCGACACGACTCTCTGCTTCACTCCTGCTTACTGATCCCATGCTCTCCCTTCTCGCTGCCCGTCCTCTCGACATGCTCCTCGCTCCTACCCCTCGCTTGTCTTACCCCTCGGTCTCGCTCCTGTCTGACCTCGACTCGGTCTGGGACGACCTGCAGCCGTCCTGGTACGACCGCGTCTCAGCCTCCCGGCTTCTTGACACCGCTGCCATGCCTCGCATCGAGTCTCGCCCGGACAGGCACGTGGTGACCATGGACACGCCCGGAGTACCCGCGGGAGACCTCGCGCTGAGCCTGGTAGGCGACCGGACGCTAGAGCTGGTAGCCTCGTCGAGCATCTCACCCACCTCCGCGGCAGCTGACGCTCGTCTGGACGACGAGGCTGCTCAAGCCCCTGGTGCTCACCCCGACCGATCGTCCCTTCGCCTCCGCCAGCGCATCGTCCTCCCTGCAGACTGCGACCCCGGCGACATCCGCTCGGAGTACTGTGACGGCCAGCTTCGGATCGAGGTAGCCCGACGCCAGCCTGCCGATCGCAGCACCAGCGAGGACGACGAGCTGTCCGAGGAAGCCCGCCGGCTCAAAGAGACTTGTGCCAGCAAGCGCGCTCGAGTCGCCGAGCTGACGGAGGAGCTCCGCCGTGAGCGCCGGGACCTCGTCGGTCTGGAGAGCGAGCTCCGAGCAGCAAGAGAGGAAGCCCGCCGGAAGCGATCGACCCGCCGGACCCCCATCGCCATCCAGCATCCTACTACGACCGACCGTGCAGCTCTACAAGCACCCAAGGCAGACAGGACGGAGTAGGAAACGCTCTAGACTAGACACGAGCATGTAACTACGTAGAAGCTAGTAATGAACGCTTGATCTCGAGTACTTGCGCTTGACGACGAGATGTCTCCGGCTGCCTGACAGCCCTGGACCCCCTTCTTGTCGCTGACTCGAGGTATGAGGGAGGGCCCCCCTCTCTTCCTGTACCTCGCCCCCGCCACCTCCCTGCCCCTCCTTCCTCTCTGTGGCCTACACAAGCCCTGACTCTACAGCCTCTCGGTACGGCAGCCCGCCGCCGCTCCACCCATCGCCTGTCTGCACGGGTGCCCGCGCCGCTGCCGCTCAGACCCTCCTCACCTCACCTCGCCTCCTCCTTGAGCTCTCGCAGTCTACCCGGCAAGGTAGGGGAACGTGCCTTTATTGTACAACAACGTCTACAGATAGGTCTAGTCTCTACACGGCTCGCCTGCTAGGCTGTGTGCAGGCTGCAGGCCGCCTGAGGAGGGAGTCAGCGGCCCGTCTCTCAGCCTGGTTGCTAGAGCAGAGGGATCCTGTGCCGCGGAGGCGCCTGTAGCTCCTCCTCGGGTCGCTTGACGGACACTCGGAGGACTCCGTTGTCGTACTTGGCCTCGACCATGTCGGGCTTTGTGTGGGGAGGGAGGGAGACGCGCTTCTCAAACGCCGCATACGACGCTTGGACTCGCGCCGGCTCCTCCGACGTCTGCTTGGAGGACGAGCGGCCGGAGATGACTAGGGTCGGGGGGACGTCGCCTGTGGCCTCGAGGACCTCGACGGCGATATCGTCCTTGGCGAGGCCCGGGGTAGCGGCGGTGACGAGGAGACGATCGGAGGTCGACTGGATGTCAAAGTGAGGCCGCAGCCGCATCACCGCCCCTCCTCCCTCCCCGTCCGAGGGGCTAGGGTCGTTGGTGACGGGACTCGCAGGCGGGTCGCGACAGGCCTCGTCCGGGAGGAGGAAGCCGCCGGTGACATCCATGACGGAGTCGAGCATGCGGTCCATCTCCTGCTCCAGCCGGCTCATCGTCGACAGGATCTGACGCGGGCTGCTAGGAAGCGACGCCGACAACGGTCGGTAGGGGTCCAGCATGAAGGCGCTCGGAGTGATGAGGAAGGCGGAGGACGAGGAGAGCATGATCA